TTACAAGGATCTACATATAACCTCCTCCCTGGGGGAAAGGCAACATCAGACAGTGTAAGATATGACAAAATAATAGTAATTTATAAATTATCAAGGGTTTGTGAGGGAGTGGGGAGCAAGAAGAAAGGGCGGGGGATGAGGAGCTGATACCAAGGGCTCAAGTAGAAAGCAAATGTTTTGAGAATGATGGCAACAAATTTACAAATGTCCTTGACACATGGATATATGTAGGGATTGTCATAAGAGTTGTACAAGCCCCTAATAAAATGATTAAAAAAAAAAAGAATTCCTGCTCAGCTCTGTCCATCCTGGAAGGGACTGTCTCCCTGGAAAGGATGTGCCCTCGCTGTGCCCTGGGATTGTTCGAGCAGGTGCCCCGACTGGGATTTCAAGGACGCCTGGGTTTTCACAAGGTCAGAATGGCCAGAAAGGAGGCAGCCTTAGACTCATCCCTGATGATGTCATAGGTTATGCGTTGGCCTGTTAACCTAAGCCGAACCACAAGCTGCTCTGTGGAAGCAAGACAAGGATTTATACTACCTTAGAACCTCCGAAAGTCACAAGGGGGCTGTTCTAGCCCTTGATGGCAGTGAGGTTTTCCTCCTAGAATCATCCAGGGAATTGCCACCCCACCCTTGCTGCAGGTCGCAGCCATTTGGAGGCTGAGAACTGCCAAGGTCGCTGCCGCTTGCCTCTCCTGCTCATTCCCTCTCCCCCCAGCTCCATCATGAAGGTTGCTGTCACCCAGCGCAGTCACTCCTGATACCTCTTGGCCTCCCACACTTCCAGTCAATACTAGACTATGCAAGAGCCTTCGTGGTTAAAAAAAAATAATAATAATTTATGCTCCCGTTACTTGTAATTCCTGCATTCTGCTCCTTTTTCTTTTGCTCCGTTATTTCATGCTCAAAAAGCTAATGAGACAAGCTTCACAAATACAATCACTACAATGATTGTAGCTAAAACATCAGCAAATTTGATAAATTCAGCCAACTATGAACTCAGGCCGCAAGGAAAATCACAACGTGTGCTCGTCGCCCAGCCAGGAAACGGCCAGATTGGAAGCCTTGCTGTAACGGATGGCGTTGACAGCTCTGTCCTGAACACCCAGGAAGACATTGCCATCGAGGTTTGGCCCTGCAGGTGTCTTGATCCAGCTCACCTGGGCTTAAAAAAAAAAAAGTGTTTGCTGTGTTCACTAACAGACAGGGATACTTATGTAAAATGAGTAAATGTCTGCTGAAACACTGCACAAGCATTTCATATTTTATATTCTGGTGTCACCCAGTGGGGTCTGCAATTCCCTGCATGCCCCCAGGGATATACCATGGCCTGCAGCTTCCTGTTGTTTCGTAGTAGCCTAGCCCAGTGTGGGCAGCCTTTGTTTTTCAAGGCCAACAGTGACGTCTATCGGCCAGAGCCAGAGCTTTAGCCTATCTCGAGGCCGCCCTGTGGCTGCACATTTGTCCTTGTTCTTGCCCTCCCACTAGCTTTATAACAAGTCTGTCCCACGGCCTCTCACTGTCACACGCTTCTTCAACCCCTCCCTGTGACCCAGGGGTTCCTCCTCCTTGACACCAGTCCCAATATTTCAGATGCTTGGGACTAATTGTTCCCAGCCTGGATATATGTCTCTAGAGCACCCCTGGCATCTATCCACCCTTCACCCACCCAGGCAGCTGGCCTACTTGCTCTCTCCACACAGAAGGCTCAGCACCACAGTTCCCTTAAAAAATGCTTTCTATGGAAGCTATTTCAAATGTCTAGAAAATTTTTCGGACTTCAGGAAAGAGTTCTCCAACATTTTGTAGCCAGTAATGGATTTCCAGTATTTGTTTTCTCCTGTTTCCCTCGCATGTGTTTACTAAACCATTTGGGAGCAAAATTGCACCAAGGCCTTAACCTGTAATACTGCAGGGTGTTTTTTTAATCGAGGATAAGCATATTTTCCTACATAATCACACGATAGTGACCAAATTCAGCAAAGTCAACATTGGAGGCAATATTTTTACCAAATCAACAACTGTCTTTCAGTTTATCATTTTCCCAGAAACACCCTCTATAGCTTTTTGTCGGGTGAAGAGGCTTGGCCCGGGATCCTCTCCAGGAGTCCATATTTCGTTAGTCAATTCTCTTGCATCTCCAGGAGTCTGGAATAGTCCCCCAGCCCCGTCGTGGGTGACAATGAAAGAACACACTGAACCCATTGCCAGTCAAGTAAATTCCGATTCAGAGTAGACCTGCCCCAAAGGGCTGTGAAGGTTGTAAATCTTTACGGGACCAGATGGCCACATCTTTGTGCCGTGGCAAGGCTGGTGAGTTCAAACAGCTGGCCTTCCAGGCAAGTAGCTGAAGTCTTAACCATGTGTCCCCAGGATTCCTTTATGAAGAACTCTACAAACCCAACCCAACCCACGGCCACCCAGTCCACCTCACTCATAGTGACCCTAGAGGACAGCGTGGGAGAACTGCCCCTGCGTATTCCAGAAACGGACTTTACAGGAGTAGAAAGCTTGGCCTTTTTCTTGGAGCAGCTGGTGGTCTGGAGCCCTGGTGGCGCAGTGGTCACACGGTGGGCTGGATCCGCAAGGCCGGTTATAAATGCTCCAACTCAAACCCACTCTTAGCAGCCCTATAGGGCAAGGTAGAACTGGCCCTGTGATCCTGAGCCTGTGACTCTTGACTGGAGGAGAAAGCCGCATCTCACTTCCACTTTATGAGAATTCAGGGCAGTGATCTCATAGGCCCCTAACTTGGGTGTGTGGATGTTTCTTTTCCTCCTGTATTTCTTGCCCTGGGTGACAGTGGTTCCCAGGTCAGGAGCCCAGACGTTACCCGGGACCCCTCCTTGTCCCTCATCCTCCATCACTGAACACCCTTTCTCCTCAGGTCCAAAGCGCCTACCTAGTTTGGAGGCTACCTACCCTTGTTTACTTCCTGCCTAAGATTCCCCGCAACACCTGTCCTTCCACCTGCTACCCCAGACTACCCCTCACACTGTCCCCTTAACTCCTCTGGCTGACTGCTCCGTTGGGTGGTCCAGAGACCAGCAGTGGGAGCTTGTTAGGAAGGTAGAATGTCAGACTCACCCCAGAATCAGAATGCTAGTGGCTTCCGTTTCTTGCTAGAGAAGCCCTGCTCTCACAGATGTTGCAGGCCCGACTCATTAGCTCCACATTCAAGGCCTTTGTCTCTCGCTTCACCACCTGCCCTGTAACCAATTCCATGCCATTCCTCTTGAGCACACGTCTCATAGCAGGTGAACGTATGGGGATGCCTGTCTCCTAACTCATTTCCCAGAAAGCCACGCCTACTGCCATAGAGTTCATTGACTCCCTAAAGGACAGAGCAGAACGGCCCCTTTGGGGTGGAGCGATCAATCGTTCCTCCTAGGGACTATGGCCCTTAGCCATCCTTTTCAGGTCTGGAAGTGAACTTCCCCTGCCTGGCACCCCCACCTCTCCTGTTAGAACAATCCACAACTTATGATCAAAGGGGCAGTATTCTATCCAAGGACAAAATTCAGAGGGATGAAAACCAAAAGGGGGCCAGGTGATGGTGTTCTTTGAAGCTGTCTTACTGTCTCCATGGAGATACAAATTAGAGTCACTCTGAATCTTGAGGTGGGATCATGCGTAGAATGTGACTATAGATTTAAGATTATCAGTAAACCAAAAAAACAGCCAAAACTCATTCTTATGGCCTTTCCATAAAATGAACAAGATCTTGTTCGTAAGCAAACACCAGTGCTTTGGGTAAGCTTCTAGCACACTCATTTCATCATGAGTCTGTTGGAACTCAGCTCAGGCCTCGTGGGGTCAGACTACTCCAGAGCTCTTTGGCCTCTCAGGGTACAGCTATCCCAGGCATCAGTTTTAGGCAAATGTTGTCCCTGTAAGGTTAAAACCTTAACCTGAAGGTTTGCATTAAGAACCAGGCAAAAGGTGGGTCCAACGTTGTTTATTTTCAAAGCCTGCAAAGGTGGCTAGCAATGCTCGCTGAGCTGGTACAACATGAAGGTCATTTCACCTCCCTCTTAGCCATTCAACGGTCAGACTCCCTGTAACTAAGATCATGGGCCATACTGACCTCCCGTCCCAGTGTGTGTGTGGGTGTCTTTAATTCTCCTCTACCTTATTCCCCACATACTTTGTTCATACAAGATTGATTTACGGACAAACGCAACTCAAACCCGTAACTCAGCAACCAGTTATCGCCAATGTCTGGCTCCCTCCCTACTTGCAGGACAGACTGCTGAGATGGTCCCTTGTGTGTAAGAAAAGCATGGGTCTACCTCAGTGGGGCGGAGGTGGTGAGGCAGCTGGGGCTGCGATGAGCAGACAGCAAGCAGGCCAGCCTCACAGGTGTTCCTTTGAGACCCGACTTCCACAGGGTGAGAGTGGGCAACTGGTGACCCAGCACTTCCTACTCCTCAAATTGAAACATGATAAATCTGGAGTGTTTTGGCTTTCAAAATCCACCAGTTTCCCACTCCTTCCCCATGTCCAGGGCTTTCAGCCCTTCACTACTTTTTTGGGGCGCCCCTGACACTGACTTGATATTTTTTGACGCCTAAAATGACTATTAAGAATAATGTGAAAGCTATTGAAAAAGTGTCAGAATCCTCCCGCTGCTGGTGGAGTCCACCCACTCCCACCCTGACCCTGCCGAAACCCACACACCTGGCAGGGGAGGAGGGTGCAGATGCTGGAAGCTTGCCTGGGGCCACTCCTAGTCTAGCCCACATCGCATGTAGCTCCCCTGCCCACCACGTGATCTCAGCAGCCTTTGAGGTAGATCTGGGAGGCTCAGCCTATGTCCCGCAGCAGTGTCTGCGCCCACCACCACCATCTCAGGTCTTGGCTTTGAATGGCGGCAGCCCCAGTTCTGCAATACCTCCTGGGGGTGACAGAGCTCCTTGCTCTGTCCCACAATTCACAACAGGTTTGACTTCGCTTCTTTTTTTTCTAGCTAAAAGCAGAGGTAGTCCTTGGGATCATAAAATCCTACCTAGAATGGCAGTGTCTTGACCTGTCTCCAGGAGTTACAAAATAAAATAAAGTGATTGATAAAGTTGAATAAATTAATAAAGACATGGGTTATCCCACAAAGGCCCTTCCTTCCAGGCTGCCTTTGGTATCTGGCCGGAAGTTTTTCTCTTCTTCTTTCTTCTCTATACTTCCCTGTCTCCAAGGTCCCAGGTTCCATGTCTAGAAGCCAGCATCCAGCAAGCACCAGGCTGTGGGTCCAGCTGTGTGGGGTGAGGGGTGAGGATGTCTTGATGAAAGGAAGCCATCTCCCAAGGGAAATGAGATGTTGTCAACAGATGCTCTGGGCTGTGGCCTTGGGCGCGCAGGAGGTGGGTTTGAGGTGTGAAAGCAGGTCTCTTCCCATGCCAACCACTGGCCCTGCTCCTTGAGTTTCTCCACAGCACAGAGGCGGGGGAGGTTGGAGGGAGGCTCGGCCGCTGCATTCCACCCTCAGAGCTTCTTCAGGCGGCTGTACATCTCCCTTTTGCTCTTCTCCCCGGCCCAGGTCCGGCTCTTGGTGCGGAACTTCTTTAGGTCTTCCTTGAAGTCCTCGTGGTGCATGGGCCGGTAGCTGGGGGGCTCACAGTGAGACTGGGGGACAAAAGTGGGTCAGGTTAGGGCACCCTGCTCTCCAACTCAAGGTGGCCCCCTCCTACCCTCCCAGGAGGAAGCAAACTGGGAGCAGCAACACAGAGAGGAACAGAGGGCTTTAGAGGGGCTTGCTCTGTGCAGGTGCAAGGCAGACACTCTCCTGATCTCCCGGTTCCTGCCATAGGCCACTTGTCCAACCCCCGGGTGAAGGGTGGGAAACCCCGTATCTCACCTGGCATTTTAGGAAGAACTCCTTGTATCCACCCTTCAGGACATACAGTTCGGGATAGTGAAGTTTGGGGTACTCATTGCCAAGCCGGTCCCTCTCTCTCACGTACCGGCACCTGGTAAAGGGCAAAGAAGGACAACGCCAAGTTAGTGCCTCCACATACTGGAAAACCTGGGAAAAAGCAGCGGCTGTGGGTTTAACCAACTCTTAAACTCACCTTCCCCAGTGCACATTTATCCCTGGCCACTCAGTGTTGGGATGCAGGTACTGGCCACCTACAGGTGCACAAGGGCTTGGCAGTAACGTAAGGCAAAGCCTTCTGCTCCAGAAACACAGATGCTACAAGACTTTGGGAGGGAGGTGTACTGTGATGTGTCAGGTTCCCACTGTACCTGTGCGTGTGCATGTGTGTATAGAATACACAGTCCCTGTGGCAAATACTAGCAGTTGATCCAATAAGGTAAAGGGTATGTGGGAGCACTCCTCGATCTTTGGCCCCAAGGACACGGCTCCTTTCATAGGTGGTTAGGTGAATTGGGACTGCCCACCCCCTCTCTAGCCATCCACCCAGCCACCTCGGTGATCCTAGCAATGTGTCTGTCTGTAAGCCACGGGCATCTTGCTCTCTACTGGGACCTCAGGCGGCAGGGTCTGTGCTGCTCCTGCTGCCCCCACAGTGGCGGGCACACTGCAGGCTTGCAAACCCCATCTGAATGAACAATGGGGGGGTGGCTGCGCAGCTGCCTGGCCCTCACCCTGGCTGGTCAATATCATCACCCGCTTACAGGAGCACCAGCCTTGTGACCCCGGTTCCAGCACCAGAGTAAAGCCCTCACAGAACTTGCTAATGAAGGATGTGTGTGGAAGGTGGGATTTTTGTCACCCCTAAAGCAGCAATAACATGAACGTGCAAACATGGAACCGACAGGGATTTTAAAGTAGTTTATCAAGTTTTGCAGAGTGAGGATTCCATACCTTTCCCTCTACTATTTCAGTGTGAATAACTGACAGTTGCATAAAAAGCAACTGCACTGTACTTGAACGATGTCACAAAAGAACTGGGTGGTCTTCAATACTCCCCCCGTCCCCAACCCCCATTAGCACAAACTTTATTGATAAAGACAAGTATAAGCTAAGTAGGCTTAATTGCAATCCTCTAATAAGTGGGGCCAAATAAATTCCCACCATTTGTTTCACACCCACCCAAACCACTTCGAGGACATTAACAATCTGGTTTTGTCAGGGTGGGATGTTCTGAGAGTCCCCATGAGAGAATAGGTGTGGGTCAAAGCCTGGGAAGGACCAGCGGGGAGGAGACTACATGGTCTGTGAACGCCGGCTCCAAGGGCACGCCCTGCCACGCCACGTCCCACCAAAGCATGCAGGACATAGGTCCTGTGCAGCACTCACATGCGGGGGCCTCGCTCAGAGGAAAATTCACAGTGGAACACGACAATGATACGCTTGTCATCCGTCGGGACAATGGGCTTCTTTAGTAAGAAGTCTTCAACCTCTTCTTCCATGTGCAAGTTCACGGCACCCTGTAAAGGAACCGGAAAGCCTTAGTGCCTGTGTCCCAGGCCTGCACTCAGACTCTGAGTCCGCCCACCAGATCAGCCTGTGACTTTGCAGGCCTGTGGGGACAGGCCTGTGGTTCACGGGGCTCCAGTAGGTCCTTTGGCACCTCCATCTCCATGGACGAGACAGAAACATACACTGGTAGTGGAGATGGGGCTTCCAATTCTATTACAAAATCATGGGTCGCTTCATGAGGGACACTGTAAATTTGGAGACTTTCGGAAGCCACCAGCTAACATTGTACATAAAGCATCGCCCTGCCGCTGCCCCCCAAATGCCCTATTTCCTACGCCGTTTTACTTGGTGAAACAGCACGTGGTTCCTTTCTTCCTGGGGAACTGTGTCTCATAAGGACACCTTTGCCCCCTTAAGCAAACTGATGGAACTGCAGGCTAAACTGGAGGACCGGACACATGGCCCAGAATTGACTTCTTTGGGCACAAGGCTCTGGGGTGTTCAGATATTTACACTGCAGAACCTTTTTTGTTAGGAACTAGCAGGTAGACTCAGAAATGGCCACAAAGGTAGTGACATTTAGGACAGAGCAGGGAGCACAGAGCAGCACAGCCCAAGACACACGTGATCCATGCACCAACAGTCTAACACCATTTACAGTCTCACCCATGCCAGGCTCAGCGAGGCAGGCACCACTGCCCATGCCCGCCCAGGAAGGCCTACCTTTATGTGGCCTCCCTCATATTCATATGGGTATCGGCAGTCAATGATAAGACATTCTTTAATCAGGTTGGTGAACTTGCCATTCAAAACAGATGCCATCTGCAGGGAAAGGCCCAGAGAGTCAACCACGGTCCTAGGGATGCTAGATTCAAACACACCACGGGCTTCAAAGGGGCGACTCACAATTTCTGGAGAGATGTATTTTAAATCCTGATGCTTCCCAGCGACCGTGTGGAAGAGGTAGCCCTGAAGCAAAGCAGGGGGAAGAAAGTGATACTTAGCAAATCTGAAAGCTGTGAGTAACAACACCAATACCCAAGAAGAGGCCATTCAAACGCACGCGCATTAACCAGAGGGCGTATGCTAACTGCTGTCCTAAGCCTGCCTTCGACAGTCTGATATTTAGTTTTCATGCAAACCTTCAAGGAATATTATAGGAAAATGTGGCTGGTTTACTAAGCACCTGTCCCGTTTCCCCAGCTGGGGAGCCAGACTGAATCTGCCCACGTGCAGACAGCCTTTGTCAGGGTTTCTCACCGCGGTCTCTAAGCAGCACTGGGCCACAGTGAGGGAGGGCACGGCAGCCCGGCCTGGTGCGCAGCCAAAGCACCGCTGGGGTACAGGGCCACACTTAGCCTAACTGCTAGCTATGGGAACTTTCCCTGTCCCACCTGGTATTTCACCACCACTCAAATGCAGCAGAGCCTCCCCACGGCACTTCTGGTCATCCGCCGATTTCCCTCTGAACTCCTCTGGGGGCCCTTTTCCTCAAAGGCCACCCTATGTGGAACAATTCAGCTTCAATCGAGGATAACACAATAACCCCTTGACATATAGACTTGTGGGGGTAAAGATAGGGCTATTTCTGCTTAGTACTTTTATGCAACAAAGGCAGCTCCTAGGTTACAAGTAAGAGCCACTCTTCACTGTTGGTTAGAACAGGTCTGTGTGGTTATTTATCTTTACTGTAATAAAAGGCTCGGAACATTTCCAATGATTTAAAGTTTCAGGTGCAGCAGTGAAGGCGATGGTAATGAAGAATTTGCTGTGAGTAGGCGCTGGTCCAATCATTTCAAAGTAAGAGCAAATTTACCCAAGGTTACAGGAGGGCTCTGACCCAGCACCGTCTGGCTCAACAAGGGTGACGCCCTACTCAAAGATGGCCTCACTACTCTACAGTGCCCCAATCCAGTTTCCACGACAAACCGCCCAAATGCTGACGAGCCAGGACTTTCCCCATCTTGCTTGACCGTCAAGGCAGACCCAAAGCCGGGCCGACAGAACCATGACCATGAGAACACACCAAGTTTCTCGGGTCCAAATGCTGGCCCTCGGGGGCAGCCTGCCACAGCGTGAGAAAGACCGAGTGCATCCTTCCGCTTGCAATTACCTTCGAGAAGTCTCCTATGAGGTCCCTTGGATCATTGTCCAAAATGTTCTCAATGGTCCTCTTTGGGGAAGATGCCAGGGGTGCCGACTGCCGGAGACCCTGTAAGCAATCAAAGGTGGACTTGTGAACAGGCTTGCGGAGAACGCAGCAGCCACCTGGAGCACCGCTCACAAAGGGGAGAAGAAAACGCTAACTTTGGTATTTCGCAAAGCAGGCAATTTCATTTCCTTCAATCTGGAAGAAACAAAAGAATATGGATTACTGGATAAGGCTACTATTATATTAGTGCCTAATTCAATTGCTCTAAAACAATTTTTTTTTTAAAGGGAGGGCAGCTAAAACTAGGGCTACCAAACAAAACCCACTCCATTTCAGCTTATCCATGGAGAGCTGGTGGTGGTGGTGGGGCACTGGAGAACAGAACATGATGAGGTCTCTACACCACAACCACCCTGAGGGCTGCCCGGGAGTCCCTTCTGACTCATGGCAAGCTGGAGGGCAGAGGAGGACAAGGGGCATTCTTCACTGGGAGAGTGCTAGCAAAGGGTCGGGGGTATTGAGGACCCTCCACCCTTTGATATCAGCAGGGTCCAAATGTGGATCCCGAGCTCCCAGGTTCAGCAATGAGGCTGCCCACCACCTCAGGTGTTCAGGAGGCTGTGTTGAAGAACCAAGGCTTCGTGCCCGCCCCACACAGCAGTAATGCGGTGGCCGCCCCCAACCCAGAAGTACCACATATGACCAGCTAAAGCGGATTTACAGTCCAGGATCTCACGTGAGAGGGCTTCAAAAAATGTATGGGGAACAATCCAAAACATACAGGAACCCAGGAAAGCTTACACCGAGAGCCTGGAAGATCTGATGAGGAATTTTGAATGGGAACTTGAATACACTAACACCAAGAAGACACGGATGTTGGGATTATCTGACAAGGATTTTTTAAAAGCCAGCTTGCTCTGGCATGGTTCAACAGACAAGGAGGGACGTGTCTGAAACAAAAACTATTCCCCCCAGGCCGAAAGGAACCTGCAAAACCAACCTGTGGGGACGTCTCCGGAGTTGCTGCCTTTCCCACGCTGGTCACCGCCATGCTTTTCCTCCGCTTCGTATTCCCAGACCCGGACTCCTCCTGGAATGGTTCTTGTCTCTTCAACACTGGTCGCACGGAGCTGCGCGTGGACGGGGAGTCACGCGGGGTGCATCGGTTGCTCTGAGGGAAATACACAGATAAGTGAACCCTGTTCAGCCTGGCACCCAGTGGGTACCGGGCAGCTGGTGTTTGATGGACACGAACTAAGCAAGACTCTATTTGGAAGCGAGTTACAGTGCTTGCTCTCAAAGACCTTACTGTCGGCTTCTAGAGTGAGTAGTTACTGACCTGGTCAGGGACACGCTTTTTTAAACTGGCCTTGTACCATCCATTTTATTATTTGCACCTAGCTTGAGTTGTTGGGACAGGTCTTCACACGCCACTCAAACCCAGAAGAGGGGCGAGACAGGCAGGTTAGACCTTCATTCAAGGTCATCAAAGTTCATTAAAGTGAAGTTACGAGTGTAAGCTTGGGGGACCAGCGGTGAGCAGAGGTAACCAATGTTAAACACATGTGCCCGAGTAGGCCACATTCTAGAACATGTTCCTGTCCACTTCACCACCACGTGATCGAGACACGGGGAAACAACTGCCTTCCTGTTGCCGTACTTGTGAAAGTGGAGACACACAGGTTCAAAAACGGCGACTGAAGCACACTCATGGAGTTTCTCACCCACTGGTCCCACCAATTCTTGGTCGAAGCAAGAAGGGCAGCACTGCCTGCACTTCTCGAAGCCAGAGCAAGCAGAGACCATGAGTTCCAGCTGCAAAGCAGAGCTTCGGTGCTCGCTGTTAGGGATTCATCCAAAGCGTTGCTTCCACTAAGAACAAGTTGTGGATCAGCCAGCCAGGACGCCAATCGACTGATAATGGTTGGCGTGAAGTCACAAAACCCAGGGCTGCATGCATCTAAATTACCAAGACACCCACATACGGCCACAACAATGCAGTCATTACCCCAGAGAACAGACAGACCAATGAAATAGGAAAGCATGCCTGTAGACACAAAGAGTCTCAGATGAAGTCAGGATTGATTCTTGTGGCAGAAGGGCTAACTTCTTGTGTGGAGGGTGAGCTGAGCCAGGCTGCCTAGGCACTCAGGGGTCCCCGGAGACACAGAAACTCACCAGGTTTGTCACTCTTTTCATGACAAGGGGGGCTGTCCAGAGGCTTGCCATGCATGATGGGGTCTCCTCATCATTCTAAAGAAAGAGAAAAATGTGTTAAAAACACATGTAGTAGATATTAATTTGGATGGGAAGCATCTAATGGCCTCTCCTGTCACCACCACTCCCCGACTCCTCAGAGTCAGATGAAAATCACACTGAATCGTTCTGATATCTGAACACGGCTACACGTGGCTCCAGCACCCCGGAGGACAGACGTTAACTCCTTCAACTTCCTACCACTTGGAAGCTAGTCCTACCCTGCCACGCTGTTTTTGTTTCGTATCTCTCTTGTACAAAACAGTATTTCAGTTCTTTTAGGCTGAGAAGGACTATTCTATTTATAGCCTCTTCTGAATACACTGTAGAATTGGGCTAGAAGCAGAGTCTTTGATACATTCTCAACAACTAAACAAAAGAGTTCGCCATCTCAAGTCCTGGAGACTGACTTCTCCAAAGGTAAGAAAGTGCACCCCGCCCCCGCACCACGGTACCTTAAAATTCTCTCCATCGAGGAGGTCCATGAAGCCATCGTCCTCGTCAGACAGAGTGGCAGTCACAGGGGAGCGAGGCATAAAAAGAGGAAGGAAGCTCCCTGGCTCGCTGTTCTCTCTCTCATGCGAGGAAAGCTGCAAGACACCAGCAGGGCCTGTTAACACACTGGAGCTGGGGCCAATTTTATTTCCTAGTTGCATTATCGCACTAGTTTGTGTTTTATTTCACTAGTTTTTATGAGGAAAATATACATGGTACATTTGGTATCACAAGGAGGAAAATCCCATCCGCTTCTAAGTGAGGCAAGGGAAATATACCCTGAGATTCTAAATGATTTGACAGTCAGGTAGAATCGTTACAAAATCTTCATCCAAAAATATCTTCCCAGAAGTAATTCCCCTTGGAGCAAGCTCTTGCGAAGAAGAGCAAAGATGGTTTTAGCAGGACGTTATCAAGGGTGGGGAACACTAATCCACATGAGGGCTGGTCTGGTCTGATGGCAGGCTGCAAAGGAGAAGGTGAGAAGACGCGTGTCTCGGTGGAGACTAGACACCGGTCCATATAAGTAGCAGGCAGAGGGAAAGAAAAGGTGACCCCGTTCTAGGGAAGTATTCCCTAGTGTGCTAGACTTGCGACTCAAATGGTGGCTGCTCAATCTTCAAACGAGGAATTCTTTGACCTGCACGGCGCTGTGATATCACCTTTACATGGATGATCCCCTGCAAGCCTGCCACACACAAAGCATTCATTAATCCTTTCCATTTAGGAAATGGGGGTTAGTGATGCTTCAAGAAGAGTTTACGAAGGTCACACAGCCAGGTTGCCTGACTCCCAACCCAAGTTGTTCCCCGCTGGATATAAAGAGGGCATTTGGAGGGGTGTTGTGGTGGTGGTGGGTCTTCCATTAGAAAGCTAGCACTGATTTCATTGAAGAGCATTCACAGAACCAGTATCTACCAACATCGAAATCCATCTCTTCTAGGAGCTTGAAGAGGCAGGAGGAACATTGAGGGTATTTCGGTCCTCATACAGAAATTAGATAGTTCGAAAGTAAGTCCTACAATTAATCCCTAAGAACACCCAAAATCTTGTCTTCCTTCCAGCAACCTTCTGGCTAGGCTTCCCCACGAGAAGGCAGTTTCAGATAAGCACACTTGACCATACCCCCGGGGTGGTAACCGTATCAAGGGTAGCACCCTCAGTAGGTACATGCTGTACAGCGATTTGTGAGGCAGGCTCTGGGGTCCTTAAGTGCCAATGTGGTACAGAAAATAAAATGCCCGACCAGTCTCGCTGTCTCTGGATAGGAAGGGTCCCTTCCTCCATGGTTCCTATCAAGGAGTGAAGAGGAGACAGATGGTGGCACAGAGACGGAAAACAGGACCACCAAAGAAATACCCTCTGATGTTGCTGACCACCACACCAGTGAGACGGGGTCCATCTTCTGTCAGTCTGCATGCCCAGGACCCCCATTCTGGAATGGCCAAGTGATCCCCGTAAACCCTGGTGTTCTGCTCTCCAAACACACTATTAGTTTCTGACGGCCAACTCTCAAAGCCCGACTGTGTACTCGGGCATGTGGGCACCTCGTTAAATCCTGTTGGTCTATACTCTGTGACCTCGGGCCAATCTCTCGAGACACTTCCACACCCCGTCGTCCCACTTTCCTTATCTGCAAAATGGGGAGACCCCACCTACCCACACAAGATTATGAAGACTCAAAAAACAACAACAACAACAACACCTGTTCAAGTGCTCAAGTGCATTGCCACACAGCAGCAATACAGCCCAAGCAGGACCTCAAACCACACTCCAGACTGGACAGCTGAATTTGGTTTAGCGCCAAGATCCCTGGAGAACTGGGTTCCTTTTTCTCACGTTGGGTCTCTACCATTTATAGATGCTGCTGGTTGACCCAATTCAGTTACTCCAATTCCTAACACTAGGAGACGTTTAGAGGTAATGACAAAAGAGCTCGAGGACAGGCGACCTTGCAGCAATGTATGAATTCCCTGAAATGATACTTCTTAATAAGCCACCTTTGCAAGAAGCCAAATGCTCTGGCTAAGCAAAAGCCCTCTCTGGGAAGTGCTGTTGAAACCCAGGGCAGTCGTAAAAGAGCAAGTCTGAAGTAAAAGATAAAATGCTATCACAGGTATGCTGAGAATGACCCAGGATGCTTGCAGATTATTTTCTCAGAATTGAATTCACCTTTTCCTTGCTCAAGTACAGTGTTTGAGACACACCATCTCACGCCCTGCTTCTGCCTGTCTGCTTCCTGAAAACAGCAGGAATGCCTCCCAGTCAACTTCCAAGAGTCAAAGACTAGGTCGAGGCAGCAAGAGCTCCGGTATGTAGTGTCTTCGGTTCCGGGTTAAAATGGGTGCTGTGCTCGCTCTTCCCTTCGAAGCTGCCCTGTGAAAGTCGGAGCACGTACCATCCGAGCTGGGGCAGAGTTCTGCCTCTGCGTGAAGAGATCTTTACCCTCCTCAAGTCCATGAGAGTGCAGGCAGCCACGAGATGCAGGTCTTATTGGCTTCTTAAACTCAAAGGCTTCCTGCAAGACAGTATGTATAGTCGAGATGTCTTCTACTGTCCACAGACACCAGCTCTAGGGCCTCAGCTTTAGCTTGGGTGAGACAGGCAAGGGAGGGGGCACTAGGCACCTCCCCCTTTATAACAGCCTCCAAATGCAGGGTGTACTGATTTCTGATCTAATTTTGAACACTGGGTATGTGTAAACTTGCCAATGGCTAATTTTGAAAGCAGCATCTCTCACTAACATCTCGTCACAAAAACTATTTCCTAACAAAGAGTTGCCACTCTATGAAACAAAAAAAATCTCAGAAAATCACTACCCTGGGCTAAATTCTATACACTTTTCCACCTCTACATATAAACAGGAGCAGTGCTTTTCCCGTTTAAATGATAGTGTTAGATACCAAAAAACAACGAAGATAAAACAAAACAACTGGTCTCGTACCGAGCGAAAAGAAGCCAGATGTAGTGGACGGAATACCTCATGCACAAAGAAGTTAGGAAACAGGCCAGACTAGACAGAGGCCTGACTTCTCTCTATCTTGGTGGAGGACAGTTACTGATGTGCAGGCATCAGCAAAGAGGGAGCCCGGGGGTTTCTGCTGATGTCTTGCAGATCTGGGGGGCAGTGGCAAGTGGAGTTTCAAACAATGCAAGGGCAGCTTACTTACAAGTAGGCCCATGTGTAGAAATCCACCTAGCTGTACCCCTGAGATGCGTCCATTTTTGGTTAGATTTCAGTACAGTTTTAAAAAGTGTCTTTTAAAGAAAAATGTTACAAGAAAAAAACCTTCTACCTGATATAATCTACTTAGGAACTTGTCACTACTTAGCACAGGACAGTAAATGGCTAGTATGACGTGCTATTTCTGCCCCCTGAACACTCTCTGTGCATGAATCCATCTAACCACCAAAGACAACCCCAATGCCCCTGATCCAGAGATGAAAACACAAGGTCTTGTAGGTCAAATGCAGTAGTCAAGGCCATTAAGGTAGGGGGGTGATTCCAGAGATAACTCTACCAAAGTGCCCAAGTGCCCTGGGCAGGGAGAGCAGGGTGTTTCTACAGAAACTCACTCTGCATTCGCCCTCAGAGCATCTCTCAGACAAGCCATTGAGAGAGCTCAAGGTACTGGTAGGATCTGCATTGAGCACGCACTGCGCACTAAGCCATTATAATGACTATCAGTGGTTGTATTCCAGCAAAGAGGGACTGAAAAAAAAGAAAAGGAAGAATAAACAGAGAGTGAGAAAGAACGCCAGAGAAGGTGATCTAATCCATCCACCTCTGTTGGATCTTTGTTCAGGTATAAGAGAGACCACCAGGCCAGGGTGTGGAAGCATCCAAGTTTGTCCTCTAAGCACCATTGCCACGCCTTGCCATTCTCAGGAGCTATTGACCCAGTTCCTTCATATACTACCAAGATGCCTTTTCCTGAGCTCAAATTATCCCAGGGTCAGAGCAAGAGGTAAGTCTGGCCAGACCCTTCCAGACGGGCTATGGACAGAACCACCGCCAAGCTACCACCAGAGCAAATCCCACACACCAGACGCCATTTTGAACGTTCTATATACATGATCTCATCTCATCCCAGAAAGAGCCTTCAGAGGCACACCTATTTTACAACCGAGGTAAACTGAAAGGAGAAATAACTTGCTCAGTCAGGTCATATAACCAGGAAGCAGCAGGATTCAAAGGCAGCTTTCTCTGACCCCAAAGACCATGTTGAATTTTGGCCTAGGTTTAGTTTTCCAGAAAGCAGTCTGTTGTTGTTTTTTTTTTTCTTTTTTAACATTTTATTAGGGGCTCATACAACTGTTATCCCAATCCATACACACATCAATTGTGTAAAGCACATTTGTACATCGTTTCTCAAAACATTTTCTCTCCATTTAAACCCCCGACATTAGGTCATTTTTCCCCTCCCTCCCCGCTCCCCCCTCCCGCATGAGCCCTTGATAGTTTATAAATGGGTATTTTGTCATATCTTGCCCTGTCCGACGTCTCCCTTCATCCACTTTTCGGTTGTCTGTCCCCCAGGGAGGAGGTCACACACAGTTCCATGTAATCGGTTCCCTCTTTCCTACCCACTCTCCCTCTACCCTCCCTGTTTTGCCACTCACACCACTGGTCCTATAGGGCTCATCCGAGCAGTCTGTTATACTTCAGAACACCCTAGACTTTGCCTCTGCCCCGGGTAAGTGCAGAACTGCCACTCACGTTCTCCTTGTTCTCATCCTGGTCCAGCAGCTGGAGGACATCGTGGTCCAGAGAGTCAGAGTGGCTCCTCTTCAGAGCTGGGCTGCACCCCAGGAGCTTCTGCTATCAAAATGAAAAGGTCATTAGGGCACTGAACAAAGATTCTGTTCTCAAAAACAAAACAAAGCAGGTGCAGGAGGATGAGCTCCTTCTCACACTATAGTAATAGGTACTCGGTACACGTGGCCAGAACAGTTTAGGGTCCTCAGGAGAAGACTTACACCTAATCTGGCAAGTTCTAGTCTTCTCAGCAAGGGCTAAATCAACCGCACAATAAAATCCTCTGTGTAAAACGCACCCTTCCTGGTTTGATAAAGCTCTGATAGAGATGAAGGAGCAAAGAGGTAAAAAGACAAGCGCTCGTGTGCGCACACACAAAGTGACTTCCTGTTGTTTGCAGGGACACAGGTAGCCCCCCCCACCCCAGGACTGTGGCCTTTACTGACCCATTAGGCCTGGAATTAAACTTACCCCTTGGTTAGAAGAACTAACTGGTTAAGATCAAAATGCCAGCCCTTTATCCAAGGACGAAGTTCAGATGATTAGAAAAAGAAGGGAAACCGGAAATACAGGAAGGAGGCGGGACAAGCTACACGAGGGGACTGCCATGAAGATGATGTGTATGAAGTGCGGAGTATAAATCCGATCATCTGCTTTGTAAACCTTCACTGACTTCACACTACAAAGCTTTTGAGTATTTAAATTTCTTGAGGCAAAAGGTCTTGAAAACTTTTCAATTGTCTGTGCTTAGACAAAAGTGCTCTTTAACAAGTTACAATAGTAACCAAGTGGGGCAGAAAACATGTATTGGCTCAGAATAAACAAAAACACTCGTTCAACTTACAGGCAGGGAGTTTATTCTCCTCATGGGTTTTTCAAGGCTGCAATGAGATGGTGTAAATAATGAGAATAAAGCAGACAAAACATTTATTCATATAAGCAGGCAGTGTCGAGGCCTATACTGTAGTCTGGGGAAAGCAAAAACGGACCCAACTCCCAGAGAAGCACACCCAACACCGAGTTTCTAGGTGGAAAGAACCCAGGGAGTCCCTTAAAATGCAGAAGTTTTCTTAAAGCTATGCCGTTACAGGTGGATCAGGGGTTTAGGTATCCTAAATAGAACATAAACATTATAGTTAAAATAAGAGGAGGTTCTGAAAATTGCTGATATAAACCATCCTTTCTCCAAATATACCAAGAATCGGGACCAGAGAGCCTGACGACCTCAGGTGTCAAGTTGATGGTGACCCAGGGAGACTCCACGTGTCAGAGGCTGACTGCTGCAGACCAGGACAAGCTAAACCCAGGGGCCCAGGTCAGAGTACAATAACGCTGTTGAAAAGTCAAGAAAATCCTTTTCTAAGCACAAACATTTAAGAGCCGTGAATACATACTTTTCTTTACTGTCCAAGGGTCCAGGAGAATCCAGGCAGAAGCCTGTGAATGAAAAAAAAAAAAAGTTAGTTTCCATTACTGTCCCTTAGCTGCTCTGTAAAACACTTTTCATTCTTTTAATAAGAGTTTCTTTACCTGTGGATTCTCACTTTTGATTTCTCAGCTCTGGGTGCTTTGGAAGTATTTACAATCTCTCAGGAAACCATACATATATGTATGCTATGAGGCACACACACATAAATGGCACATTGTCATTCAAAATAAATACTTTACTTATACGCCAGCCAATACTCATAGTTTAGACCTTTGCCAGAACGGAAGTCTCTATTTGATTGTCAAAATTTCCTGTTTGCCCAAGTCTTTATATAACACATAGTATGCATTACATAGTAGATAGTATTCTCCCTTCTCCTACGTGCAAACACAGCTATTCCTCATTTATTGACTACCTTGCTGTTACCTGACATTTTGCATTTATAATAGTAAAAGTCCAACTATTTTGTGTATTAACCTATGCCTGGCAGTAACAGAAATGGATCAACATTGGCTGGGATAGCTACGGTGATTTGTCAACTTTGCTGGGTCATGGTTCTCAGAGGTTTGGGAGTTATATACAATCTTCACCTACTCATGGTCTATGTTGTGATCCGATGTGGTCACCCTCCGTTTCTGCCTAGCACCAGTCTTCCCATAAACGTGGTGTGCTGGCAAACAACTCTCATTACCACTGATGAGAATAGAATTTGAGGAAGTGAGGTCAACTGATCCTTGTCATGACTGTTCAGAGGTGACCCAGGTAGCTTTCCAAACTATTTATTCCAACCATAGAAAGACCACGTGTGTGTCGAAGGGATCAGGTGTAAGGCATCATCAGAACAAAAAATCTTACCATAGTGAATGATGGGGGGAGTGCGGAGTGGAGATCCAAAGCCCATTAGTCGGCCACTGGAGATCCCCTTGCAGAGGGGTCTCGGGGAGGAGATGAGCCAGTCAGGGTGCGATGTAACAATGATGAGAAATACAACTTTCCTCTAGTTCCTAAATGTTTCCTCCCCGCTCCCACTACCATGACTCGAATTTGAACTTGCAAGACTGGCTAGACCAGAGGAGGTACACTGGTACAGATAGGAACTGAAAATACAGGGAATCCAGGACAGATGAGCCCTATAGGACCAGTGGTGTGAGTGGCAAAACAGGGAGGGTAAAGGGAGAATGGGTAGGAAAGAGGGAACCGATTACATGGAACTGTGTGTGACCTCCTCCCTGGGGGACAGACAACCGAAAAGTGGATGAAGGGAGACGTCGGACAGGGCAAGATATGACAAAATACCCATTTATAAACTATCAAGGGCTTATGAGGGAGGGGGGAGCGGGGAGGGAGGGGAAAAATGAGGACCTAATGTTGGGGGTTTAAATGGAGAGAAAATGTTTTGAGAAACGATGTACAAAAAAAAAAAAGAAAAAAAAAAAAAAAAAAAAAAAAAAAAAAGAAACGATGTACAAATGCGCTTTACACAATTGATGTGTGTATGGATTGGGATAACAGTTGTATGAGCCCCTAATAAAATGTTGTTAAAAAAAAAAAAAAAAAAGACCAGGTTGTGAGGCTTTTCTGAGGGAGTTTCTATTTCACATATATTGTCTTGTCAAATCATGTGGGGTTTGCGAAGGTTATTAGTCCTGTGACCCGTAAGGCCTGTATTTGCTGCCTTCCTCAAAACGGCAGCGCGCGTCAGGTGCCATCTTAGCAAAGGCTTCCTTCCCACACCGGCACAAGTGAGAATCCATCTTGTTCTCAAGAAGCTGCCTCCATTTAAAAGTGTTGGCCTTACAGTTCTTCAAGCCTAAAACATCTGTGCCCCAAATGTTCTTATCTCTATAAAGATATACCCAGTAGCAATATAAACTTAAGCATTAGGATAAAACGCTGGTACTTTTCTTCCATAGCAAGCTTACTAAAACCATTTCATTATACCTTCAATAGTTTTAGCCTATGTTTTAACCAAGGACGTTCTGAATACCACTTACAGTGGTAGAGACTTTTACTCCACTAAGTCATCTTCCCAATTGGCTGCTAACCAAAGGTTGGCAGTTCAAACCCATCAGGGAGACAAATGTGACAATGTGTTTGGTAAAGATTTATAGCCCTGGAGGCCCTATCTATAGGGCAGTTCTACTGTGCTCTATAGGGTTGCTATGAGTTGGAATTAATAGCAATAGATTTGGTTTACCTTAAAAAAAAAAGAAAAACAACTTTTCCTTCAAGACCCAGCACATACCACCTACTCAAAGACCTTTGGACTTGTTTTCTGCCCATCAATTGCTACAAGGGGCTTCTTTGGACTGTTCCTAAGGGGCGCTTGTTAACCAGCTCCATGCCCTCTCCATATTGTCTCATCTACAATCACACTTAGTCCTATGGTGCAAAGGCATCTCAGCACTTCCTGGTGGTGCCCCACACTGCAGGCACCCAATGTCCATAAAGTCCTGAAGTCCAGAGCTTACCGGAATCCGTGGACTCGGAGGAGCCCATTCTCTGCAGACTACTGCTCTTCACCTCCAGTGGCTGCTCACACTCACTACAACTGAGAGAAAGGGCCAGAGCTCAGTTAAAAAGTTATGTACAGGACACAGCTACCCAGCTAAGGATCAGAGAGAAAGAGTGGGGTGGGCATCTCCCTGGGCCAAAATGCAGAACAGTTATGATAGTATTGAATTATTTCCTGAAATTGGAAGATAGGTTCTAGGCACATGGCTAGAAATGGGGGATTCATGGTGCCTCGGGCAGGTGTGCTGCCTGTAACAACAGGTTTGGAAAGGAAGACATGTGCTTAGTTAGAATAAAAGATACCCTAAAAAAATAAATAAAAAATACTGCAGATGAGAGGGGGGAGCAGCTTCCCAGAAACATTGTAAGCTGCATTCCCCCCCCCACCTCTAAGGTGGGGAGGGGGCGTGTTTAGAAACCCTGTTGCTTTCAGACTGGAAAGTTGGGTAAAAGCCAGGGGGCCTGGAGATTTGGGAAAGCAACCTGGTGGGCATCAGGAATGTGCAGGAGGGATTGTGGCAAGAAAGAAAATGCCATGTCACTTTGTTGGGAAGGAACAAAGCTCTCAGGAAACGAAGATCCATCCAGCTTGAGCAAGGGGTGGAAGTTATCGATAAGGACCCCCACCCCACGCGCCCATCCCCCAGGTTCCCAAGGACCCCCCAGGGATAGGAAAACGACCAGAGGGTATTCAGCAACCGGAAAGGGATAGTGAAGGTGAAGAGCCGAGTGGAGGGCTGGAGGGCCGGCCTCCCCCGCCCAGCATTCCGCCCGAGTAGAGGGTGCACATGGCGGGCTCGGGGGTGGGCTCAGCCGCTCCAGAGCGGCGGCGAGCAGCCGGCGAGTTTCAGGAGTCTGATCTCCAGGAGGGCCGCCAGGAAGGCCGGTGGCCCGGGGCCCGGCCGCTACCCCAGCTCACCTGCCTAGCCCCTGCAGCTGGTCCATGGTGACCGTCAGGTTGGTGACAGGGGACAGCCCCCCGGTGGCTGGCGCGCCGAACAGCGTCTTCACGACGGCGGGTGGCGCGGGAGGGGGGCTGCAGGCGAAGAGCAGGCGCCGGCGGTGCGGGGGCTCCGGGCCCAGTTCCATGGCGGCCCCGGGCCTCCCCAGGGCTCCCGCTCCCTCTTTCTCCGCCTCCGCCGTGCCCGCCCCGCCCTGCCCACACCGGCCTCGGCCGCGCGCCCAGCTGCCGGCGTCCGCGGGTCCAACACAAACACGACCCCGCGGTGGAGGGACGCGGCGGTCGGATGTCTGGGCGGCGGCGGCGCCGACCACTCGCACTGCTGCCCCCGACCCTCTGTCCGCGAGGCCGGCGGGAGGCGGCCACGCGAAGCTTAAATCCAAACCAAACTGTGCGGGTCAGGAGAGGCGCGATGGCGAGCGAGAGCGGCGAGGCAACGGCCCGGTCCACACACTCCTCGTTCTTCCCACCCTGAGGCGGCCGAGCGCCGGGGAACCTGCCTCCCGGGCCGCTGCAGCTGAGATGGCCTTCCGCGGGGGTAGCTGCTCACTCGGGGCTGCCGCCGCTCCGCCCCTCTTTTCCTAGTTGGCGCCAAATGGGAATCCACCAATCAGGAAGCTACTTCCCCGCCGGCGAATGGCAGCCCGGCTCGGCCAATGAGAGGGCGAGGTAGCCGCTCGCGGGGTCCTACGGGGTCACTACCGTCGGGGAGCGGGCGGAAACGCTGAGGACGGGGAGGGCAATGAAAACTCCCAACAGGCCTTGCGAGGCCCGTTGTATGCTGGGAAACGTAGTTCTTGACACCACCCCCATCCCTCACCCCCACC